AATGTTGTTTATTGATCCAGTGGTGAGGATTTTTGTTTTCTTTACATTGAGATGCAATTCATACCGAAGGCTGTGCTCTTTGATCTTCATCAGTAAGTATTTTAAGTCCTCTCCACTGTCAGCAAGCAAGGTTGTATCATCTGCATATCACAGGTTGTTAATGAGTCTTCCTCAAATTCTGATACCATGTTTTTCTTCATACAAACCAGCTTCTCGTATTATTTGGTCAGCATACAGTTTGAATAAGTATGGTGAAAGAATATAACCCTGTAACACACTTTTCGTAACTTTAAACCATTCAGTGTTCCCATGTTCTGTTGGAACAACTGCCTCTTGGTCCATGAGCACAATTAAGTGTTGAGGAATAGCAACCTTACTTATAGCAAAATGAAACATGGACTGGTACTCCATCCTCACAAATCATTGGCATGTTTGAGCTCACTGCTGCAGCCCCTATGTCGCTCTTTCTGAGATTTCTCTTTTTCACTGATTCTCTACATTGCCAAGCATGATATCCTTCTCCAGCATTTGGCTCTTCCAGATGACCTTGGCAAAATAAGAAAGACTTGGGTTTATAGGCAGCAAAAGTGTGGGAGGAGTGGGGTGTAGTTTGCCCTTATTCTGAGAGTATTGTTTATTTGACCCAGCTGTATTTCAAAGTATTTCTTTAATTAGATTTCTCATATTCAGTTGTTATTGTTGTTAAGTGTCTCCGAGTCAATTCCAACCCATGGCGACCCTGTATAGGGTTTCTGAGGAGCAACTGGTAAGCTTGAACCACCGACCTTGCAGTTCAAACAGCTTTGCAGTCTGGTGCATTAACCCACAGCGTCACACCAGGACTCCATGGTTATATGAAGCAGGCTTTTAAAAAGTTTGTGGAAAAATTCCAGTATCCTTTCATTCAATTTTCCCATGAGGTTTTTGAACCCCCGTCATATTTTATGTCCCACAAGTGCTCAAAATTTCATTTCAGTTTCACCAGAATCAACAAATGCCTTCAGGCAAAAAAAAAAAAAAAAAAAGCTTCAGCAATGTGCTTTCTCTCTGGATTGCAGCTGGTGGGTTTGACCTGTTAATTGTTTTTGATTGTGTTAGTTCAACATAGGTTTTTAAGGAGACGTTTCTTTGGGATTTTAGCAAGTATTATTTTGTTTACAACAGAAAAAAAATTGGTTCAAATAGCCTAAATGTTCTGTTTCCAGAAAAAAATTAAAAAATATTTATTAGTTTCTAATGTAATTTCTTCTTTGACTCATTCGTTATTAGATTTTATATTTGTTTACTTTCCAAACATATAGGGATTTTTAGTTATCTACCATCCATGTTGTACAATGCCACTTAGAACAGAAGGACTCATTTTTGAACTCCTGAGAAGGGGGTCAGCTGCCTCTGCTAAAGAATGTTTCCATGTTCAAAGTCACTCTGCCTTCTTCAGGTATCTCATATCCTGTGACTGGATATGCAGGATAGAAAAGCCCAGCCTGCCTTGGGCAACTTGGAATAACTATGAAGAGTCATCTCAACTTCAAAGTTCTCTGCGAGGTTGTTGCTATTAAATGCCGGCGAGTCGGGTCTGACCCATAGCGACCCTGTACAGGGTTTTCCGAGGGTGTAAATCTTTATGGGAGTAGAAAGTCTCATAGCGACCCTGTACAGGGTTTTCCGAGGGTGTAAATCTTTATGGGAGTAGAAAGTCTCATCTTTCTCCCGCGGAGCGCCTAGTAATTTCGAACCGTTGACCATAAGGTTCGCAGCCCGATTCGTAACCACTACGCTACCAGAGCTCCATTCTTATGGGGTTAAATGAGGTCTTTTAATATGTCTGTAGCAAAGCCCAGCAGCTTCTTTCTCTGCCCGGTCCCCTTCCTTTCGTGCTGGGTTTCCCTAGAGAACTCCCTAATAAACTCCCTGCACACTCATTTCTAGCTCAGAATTTATTTGGCAGGGAACTCAACCTGCAACATTATCTTTCTGCAAGTGATTTTTATCTTAATTGGGTCCCTTTCAGAGAATATACTCTGTGTGATTTTAGCCATTTTAAATGAACAGAACGGTGCTTTATGAGCCATTTTAGTGCCAATTTTTGTAAGTATTTCTTATGTGGCTGAAATAATATATATGATAAAGTTATTGGTTGCAATTTTCTTTTTATGTCTATCACATCAGAGTTGCTAATTGTGCTGTTCATATCTCTGTCCTCACTGATTTGTTCATGTTCTATTTGCTCTATCAGTTACTGAGTGAGGTATGTTAAAATCTCCCACTCTGATTGTAGATGTTCAAATTATTCGTTGTAGTTTTGTTAATATGCCTTGTGCATATCTAAGAATATGTAATTATATAAATTTAGATGCATATTGGACCTATAAATTTAAACTGTTATTTCTTCATGGCAAATTGAACATTTAGCCATTGTGATACAATTCTTGTTATTTCTGGTAATGATATCTGAATTAAAGTCTATTTTGTCTGATATTAAATATACTACTCTAGATTTAGAAACTCTGGTAGCGTAGTGGTTACGAATCAGGCTGCGAACAGCAAGGTCAGCAGTTCGAAACTACCAGCTGTTCCACAGGAGAAAGATGAGGCTTTCAGCTCCCGTAAAGATTTACAGCCTCGGAAACCCTGTACAGGGTCGCTATGGGTCAGAATCGACTCGACAGCACTTAACAACAACAACAACAACTCTAGATTTAAGGAGACCAGATAGTGTATGGATTACAAGCTAGGCTATTCACCACAAGGTGCAGCAGTTCGAATCTACTCGTCGCTCCATAGGAGAAAAATTAGGCTTTCTGCTACCATAAAGATTTACAACTTCGGATATGATACAGAGGTAGTATGAGTCAGAGCCGACTTGGTGACACACAACTACCACTACTCTAGTTTTATTTATACTGTGTTCTGTATAGTACATTTTTTCTATTTTTTTTTTAAGAGATATATATAGTCCAAAAATTTAGTTGTGTTTCTTAGTAGAGAACAGTTGGATATTTATCAAGTCTGAAAATCTCATCTTTAGTGGATCATTCGATTTATTTTCATCTAAGGCAATCACAGATACATTTAGCTTTATATCTTCTTCAGCTCTAATGCCACGGGTAGGCAAACCTAGTTCTCCAGACAAATGCCCAAAGATGCACCACTTTAAAAGCAAGCCTCCTGCCCAAAGGCACTCACTTTCTTGACCCTTTGATTCGGAAGCCCACCACTCTGTCTCCCGCCAGTTATGCTGCCTCTGCTGCCATTGTTTCTCTGC